CCCCGTGACAGTAAGCGCTTTGTACTGCTGTTACACAGCACAAAACGCATAATAAAAATTGAGATTTTATTGTGATTTTTAGTTCAGTTCAGTGTTTAAGTATCAGTATTGTGTGCTGCCGTGTTTCGCATCCATCGTTCGTCCATTGCTGCAGTTCGACTGTATTGTCTATGTACCCTATTTAATAAATTCGTATTTTGTTCGACCGGTGTCGTCAGCAAACGCAGTTGTCGTCCGCCTTTGCGCACATCGTCGCGGGCTACACCTAACAAACGAGCATGAGAAACGGCGGTAACAGGCTCACAACTAGGCAATTCAGCACTGGTCGAAGCAACTGGAAAGACGCTGACGGCAATATTCGGAGAGCCAAACTATGAAATACAGCTGATCAGAGTACCTATACATTTACTGATTAAAATTATTCAATGACCTAATAAAGTAGAACAAATCAAATACGAAAAAATACCTGCATGCATAGATGTTCCCTATCAACACAACAGACAACCTGGCAACGATGATTTTGGCAGGATTTCATCTTTTTGCAGCGTCGTGTACAGAGATATGGATTCTCCGCTTAAATTATCCAAAATTATGAGAAAATTGCGTTCTTGCAAGGGATTAAAAACAACTTCGAACTTTCAAAATCAAATTAGTATCCACTGTTACAAGTCTAAATCTAATCCAGATTTGCAGAAGACACTACCGGATCTCCTGCAAACCATAAAGGTCTACGCCAAGTTTACTAAGGATAACTTCCACTTTTAAAAATTTTACTGTCTTTTTCTATTTTTTTCTGTCGTCTTTCTCTTTTCTTTTCCTTTCCTCTGTAAGCATTGCGACCCTCATACTGACGAGATCCTATCGCGCGGTGTTGAATTAAGGCGTATATGACTTAATGGACCGAAACGTCTTATCTTACTCTTATTTTCTCTCATACTGTTCTGATCGTGTTGTAATTTATCATTCCTTTGCCAGTTAGGCTTCCAGGATCAACCTAGTTGCTACAAGCGGTTTACTGGAACCACTTTCAATTTGTCAAATGCATTTTCTGATCTCTTTTTAACTCTTTTTTTTAAAAGATTAATGGTTTTTATCAACAAACCAAAGAAGGAATAAATCAAAAAATTCTCAAACCTGAATATTCCATAAACTTTTTGCACGAGATGGTGTTCTTCACGGCACCGCATCGGCACACAATACAACTATTTAATGGGCATGGTGGGCATGCTCCTAGGTGACATTTTTCCATACAGCGATGTGGTCGTTCTACAACAACTTAGTGAAAACGGAAAATTCCACTTCAAACTTCTAAATTTCCAAAACTCATTTTATCACCAAAAGTCGGCGACGTACTTTAACATGAAAATGCTGGGGCATGAGTTGGTGACAATTAACGTTCGATATTGAATCTTTAAATGGTCAAAGACTTGTCAAAGTGGGTAAACCGCTGATCCAGTAATTCGTTAAAACGAAAGGAACGCCTAAACCATCAGAAGCTGACCAAAAAGCGATTTAATACGGCTCAGAACAACCACGAAGAAGTGGGAAGCTATCAGCTATACCATTGCAGTCATTGGCGAATCGAGGTAGGGGGAAGGGAAGGGGCGATGGCTCTTTCGCCCTCCTCAGCTGTACAGGTAGCAGTGCTAGAAGTGAAGAAAACCCTCTTCAAC